TTGGAGACTTGGCGGCTGCTGTGTGGCCATGGGAACAGGACGTTTCCGACAGCGGCGCGGTAGCTGTAAACGCCCAGCAGGCCGAGAGTCAGAGCGATCTTCGACACCAGAGAGCAGTGACGCTGAACCAGAACCAGGATGAGGAGAAGAGACACCGCCGCCAGCACTGAGAGGAACACCTTATGATCACCACTGAAAACACACACACACACAAAACAGACATGAGGATCATTTGCACATACACTTTGAAAGGTGCCAGGAGTCAAATTGTTGGGCTGTGGAGAATGTGAAACATGTATATTCTCTGACTGTCTTTCCCACATCCGAGAGAGTTACGGTGTGGAGAAGCCCCAAAGAAGCATACCACCCAGACTGTTCAGACATAAGGTGGATCAGTGATGGTTTGGGCTGCAAATTCATAGCATTCCCTACCTGTGCAAGATGGGCGTTGGGTCACTGCCAAAGACTACCAAACCTTTCTGGAGGACTATGTGCACCAAATAGTTTAAACAATATATCCTAAAGGTGGCCCCATGTATCAGGATGATAATGTACCAATACAAACAACAAGACTGGTGACAGAGTGGTTTGATGAACATGAAAGTGAAGTTGAACATCTCCCATGGCCTGCACAGTCACCCGAACGAAATATGATTGAGCCACTTTGGGGTGTTACGGAGGGGCGAGTCATGAAACGTTTTCCTCTACCAGCATCACGTAGTGAGGTGGCCACTTTTCTGCCGGAAGAATGGCTCAAAATCCCTCTGGCCACCAGGTAGGACTTGTGTCTGTCATTCCCAAGATCAAATGATGCTGTATTGGCTACGAAAGGAGACCCCACACCATACTAGTGAATTATTGTGGTCTAAAACCAGGCGTTTCAGTTTCATTGTCCAACGTTGAATCAACACAATTCTTAAGTTTTATAGGGGACAACTTTTACGTTCAATCCACTTAACTGATAAAAAACGATTAAGTTAACTTAATTGGTTTATGTTGGCACAACATGGAGGAATTGTGTGGAACCCAGCTTTTTATAGAGTGTACATTCCAAAAAATATATAAATAAATAAATAAAAAAAAAAAAAAAACCTATCATAGAAGAATAAAAAAATTGTTTAATTCACATTAAGACTACACTGAAAAACAACTTTAAAAAATGGTGGCAACTTGTTACGGCTAATATATATATATATATATATATATATATATATATATATATATATATATATATATATATATATATATATATTTTTTTTTTTTTTTTTTTTTTTTTTTTTTTTTTTTGCAAAGTATAATTTAACTTTGGTTCAATCATTCAATTTAATCAAATTTGAAAATATTTATTGTGGTTAAGAAAAAAAAAATGGTACAACCTAATTTTTATTAAGGAAAATTTTTTGCTTTAGACCTAAATATTACTGTAATTTGTTACAGCTAAATCTACAAATTTTCCTCAAATGATAGTGTTGACTTATTAATAGTGTTTTACTTTATCACCAAAGCTGCATGTCAGTAAAATTATAAAGTGGATGATGCTTCAATCCCAGTTTGTGGACCTTAAATCAGGTTTATTTTGTACATTTACAAAACAGATATCTATATAGAAGTGTATATTAACGTGTATCCTGTCACATTTGCAGTGCAAAAACAGTAGAATGTTAAACATGCACGCTTTGTGTGTGTCCGTAACTTTGTAAAGACTTTGCAAAAAACCTTGAATTAACTCCACAACAAATCCATCAAATAATCATTGGTAAAGTTCTAACTGTAGTATTTCTCACAAACGTTACGTGAGTTCTGCTTCCTTTATGTCTGTCACTGTGCTGTTTATCTGTGGCAGCCGATACGGAGATTGAGGCACACTCTGACAGGCACGTGGGGACTGTAGGCAGGGAGAACTAGGATTAAAGGCACAGGCAACAAAAACAACTACAGTGTGTTCAGAGCAGAAAATCCAATGTTCTGAAAGCTATCATAAATAATCTGATGGGTGTTTTGAACTGAAACTTTACAGACACATTCTGAAGACACCAAAAACTTATCTTAAATCCTGAAAAAGGGGTAAAATAGGTGCCCTTTACTATTAATCAAAATATTTATGCTGCCCAAGGAAAAACAAAACATCCACTCAATGGTAAAATATTATTGTATTGCATTATTGTATTGCAGAATCCAATTAAATATGTACTTTGGACTTAACCGCTAGTTAATTGCTACAGTAGTTATTTTATTTTCAGAAATGAGGTAAACTATTTGCTTTCAGTATGGCTATAAATGTCAGGTAAAATGGTGATTAAACACATCGGAAATACATAAAAACGGAATATTACACAAACAGAACATGTCATGAAATCTGCTGGTCCAAATTAAAAATACTACTAGAAAAACTAAGGTTTTTTTCCACCGTACGTAGTGAGGTAACAACATGAAAAAATCATATGATTATAATGACCAAATTCATCATGGTTATCAATAGTATCAGTTTTGCAACATACAC